CGAGATCGAGCGGCAGCTGCGGCGGGACAAGCGCGACGCGCGCCGGGAGCTCAAGCTGCTGCTGCTGGGTGAGTGCGGGGCGCCCCGGGGAGCCCGCCCGGCCGCGGCCACGGCCCCGGGCTGAGCTCAGGGGGCCCCTCGTGCACAGCCCCTGCTCTGCGAGGGGACCCCAAAAGGCTTCTTTTTGCCCCAGAATCCCAGCCCCATCCCTGCCTTTTAAGTAGTTTTGCTTCTTTGAAGAAATTTTCTTTTTTTACTTTGTAATGCAGAACTCTAGGACTCCTGGTTCAGAGAGGATACCTTTTATTAGACCCACTAAGAAACTGCAGTATCTCAATAGATAGATAGATATATAGATGATCATTTCTGCAGGTTGTAGCCGTCTGGGGCTGGAGGAAAAAAGCAATCGGGGATGGTGGACAGAGGTGCTATCTTTTAGTAGAGCAGCAAGATTTTTTTGCCAAAAATCTTGTTGGTCTAACAAAAGAGATCTTTTTTCTGCATGCAAGCTTTCAGACATGAGCGCCCTTCCTCAGGCTCAGGGAAAATTACAGATGGTAAAAAGTCCCCAGAGGTGGAAAATTTCTTTCTTTCTTTCTTTTTTTTTTTTTTGGAAGAAACTTTTTTTTAAAGAATTTTTTTTTTTTTGGAAGAAATTCGAACTCTTTAGATGGTCAGATTTGTGGCTCACAACCTTTGACAGTGTAAAGAAAGGAAGAAGGACTTGGAAATCAGGAGCCCACGTCCGGCTCATTCCCAGTGGCTTGTCTTGAGCCTGCTGACAGACACCCCAGCCCGCCTAGGCCTGACCCCCCGCCTGGAGCAGCCCCTAGGGCAGCAATTCCCAAACTGTGGGTTGGGATCACAACATCAGTGGATGGGGTGGCGGGGCTGTGGGTTGGGAGTGAGGGGCCATGCTGAGGAAAAGGTTGGGAAGCACTGCCCTAGGGTGTCCTTGAATGACATTGTTGTTCCCTGAACCCCAGGGCTTGAAGGCAGGGCAGCCCCTTTGCTTTTTGCCTTGGCACTGACCCGGCGACATAGCAGCGCAAATGGCAGTGCTAGTAGCTTTGGGAGCTGTTGGAGACTAGAGAAATGTGCCAGAGGCCTGGTTCTTGCTTGGGGGCTCTTGCGGTAGCTTCAGGAGTGTTGTCATAGCCCAGGGAAATGTACCAGAGGCCATGTTCGTGTTTGAGGGATCTTGAGAACGGCAATGCTGGTAGCTTGGGGGTTTCGTAGCCCAGGGGAAGGTGCCAGAGGCCAGGTTTTGCTTGGCGGCTCTTTTATTGGCGAACCGTGCAGGTGAGGGAGATGTTGGAAGAGCTTTCGGACACAAAGGGGCCTCTTTCAGGGCTGGGAAAGAAGCAGATGTGTAGGCTAACCTAAATAGCATTAGATTACTGTTTGTTTTCACACAGAGAGGCCTGATTTTTTGGTTACCCCAAGTGCATGAATGGGCCAATCTGTGGACACTCAAGCTGTCCCAATTTAAATAAAAACTAGGAGCAAGTGACACCATCTTTCCATCGGAGGGGCACATTTGCCCCCATGAAGAGCCATTTATCCCTGGAAGGATGAATGGTAATTTCCTCCCAATTTTTCCAATAGAAACTGAATGCAACTTGCTCCTTTTGGAGCAGCTGTCATGATGCTGTTTGGTCTGGGCTTATTCCTGGAGTTAGCTTTACTTTTCTCAGTGTAGCCATTTATGTGTCCAAGTACATCTAAACCTGTCCAGTACAAGGAATAAGTTTGTAACAATGATTAAAGTCCCAACAGCTGCTAGCACGTGCTGTCTGTCTTGCTTGCTCTTTCTTAAATAATGTATGGTCCATTAGTGGCTATTTATGATGATCCCCAAGAGGGACTTGTTTTGGGTTATTTAGAGTCAAAGCCCCAGGAACCTGAGACAGAAGTGTAGTGACACCTGCCATGAATCTGTTATCAGCCATTTTATGACTGTATGGTTGTTTTAATCATTACAAGTACATACTGGCCCAGCCACTGCTGCAGTCACAGGAGAAATGGCATAAGTGATAGACTGGGCATACTGCTGCCGCCACATGGGTAGCTGCTCCAGAACTGAAAAACAGGTTTGAGTGTTGCTTTTACTAATAGAGACACTCATTGTTCCCTTTTGCCAGGATCCTGGTTGAGAATCAGTGGTCTACACTGAACCCTTTTGTAAAATTTGCCGTCACTATTACAAGCAGTGCAGCTCCACTGGCATCAGTATCAGTGGGAGCACTAATGTAGACAAGGTATTGACCGTTGCAAGCCTCTCTGCGATTTGTTGTAGGCTTTTCTCCTGAGAATTTAAAGGGAAGTTTTAAATTTTAATTTAACAAAAAAAATTGTTCATCAAATATACAACTGACAAAACAAATAAATGAGTCTGCTTGTAGCTGACTGTGAGGTGGCAGGTTTGCCAGTTGGGAGATTGTTACTTCATTTTTATGCAAATAAAGAAATCTTCGGTCACTCCTGTAACAACTAAACTTCTTGCTGAACCAAGCAAGCTGTTTTGTTGGTAATTGAATAAGGTATGCAAACAGGTTACCAACAAAAAAGAAATGTCTTGTGGTTTTGTGGTATATGTGAGGGGGAGTGACGCACTTGGAGAAAGTCACATGCTGAAGACAACCATACTGTCTTGCCACTGCCATCTGACGAAGATTATGAAACAGCTTTTAAAGTTAAGTGTATCACACGATACTACAATTATTTAGCTTGAACATTAGAAGTTGATTATTTTCACTGTTTTTAACCCATCTGACTTCCATGGTATCAGATACAAACACAATATGGCAATGTGTCAACTGGAAACATTTATGTATGCATTTTCTTTTAAAAAAAGAAAACTGTTTGAAATGGAAAATAAACAAGTATGAAAGCATTGCTATTCACCTTCACTTTTTTGTAAAACTACTTTTTAAATTAAACCAAACTTTCTAGTCAGATTTTTACCTGCAAGGTACTATATAGGGCATAACTATATAGGGCTACATACTGCAAAATCCTTATATGCATGCAAAACTTTAAATATTTGAATGATAGTATTGGCTTCAGCATGAAAATATTACTATAAAACACGTTCTTTTTGTTATGAAAGACTGTAATGACAACCAAATCTGGCTTGTGCATGATTCAAACAACTGAATGTTTCTCTGTGCACCTGTCTCTGATGGAGGCAGGTGCAATAATAACTGTGTTACTTTAAATCATGGTCTTTGCTTTTAAACCATAACATTTGTGTATGTGCAGAATTTTATTGTTACCTGTTCCTTTTTAAATTTATGAAACAAGAAAGCATATAGTTTAGTTTAAAGGGTTTATCACAATATTTTAGAATTTTTGGTTAACTTCATCTACAAAAAAATAGTGTACTTTAAACGTTCTTGAAAGACTTTACACTGTTTCTACTGTTGTACTAAGCCAAAGAATAACTTGGCACCAAATAGTTTCTGTTTAGAAACTTGAGTAGGTGGCCAGATTTTTGAAAACGTTCATAGTGGGAACTGCTAGATGCTGAACTTTCAGCAAATCTTGTTTCCCCCTTCTTCATGACTATTGTGTACTCTTGAAAAATATGACCCTAAGCATTATTTTTATTACTGCATTTTCTTGTTAACTTAGATGAGGATAAAAAGCTTCAAGAAAATAATTGATTCCTATTTGTGTGAAAGAAATACACAAAACTTTTGTCAAACAATGAAGATAATATTGTTTATGAAAGTATGTTGAAATGGACCAAGAACTGCATAGTAACCCACAGAGGAAGTTATGCACAGGTTTTATGCATTATACATTCCTCCCAGCCGGAGGAAAGACCAGAATAACTGGTGAGGCTCACATATGAGAGGAAACATCACAGTTTCTTGCAGAGCCCAAGAGATTGGGTGTCATATGCTAGGCTTTGTATAAGTAACAAGATAATGGAACCCTGTGTGATCCACAATACATACAAAAATAATGATGGCAAGTTGAAATGAGTCAAGTTAGTATTGATACATCTGGAAGCAACAAGGGATCTCAGTCCTCACTTTGGCATGCAGAAAGCATAGCAAAGGCAAAACGTGGCTCATTGAAAAAATGAACAGAATAATCATCATCCACATGCAGGTGACATTAAGTAGGAAGACTGGCAAGACTGATCTCTGTGGTATCATCCCTGTGCTTCAAAGTTTCTGGTACCACTTCCCTAGTGCTTCCAGGAGTGCTGGCAAATATTGTGCCTCCCTCCCCTCTTTCCTACTTACACAATATCCGTGTATTTTTTTTGAAGTTTTTAGATTTCCATATCATTCTTTGCTGGCTCTCTGTGAAGGAGCAAAACCGCTGTAAATCTATAAAACCAGTGTCAATGATTTACGATAAATCCAATGAAATCAACAAGGGCATCTCTCCAGCATCCTTTTATGGGGCTACCTAATCAAGTTGAGACATCAGGCTATTCTTTCTACACTCTGGTGTAAATTGAGCCTATCTTTCCTTCCCATACTCTTTTTTATTTTTTAAGAAAGGAAAAAAAAAAGATATACAGCAAAAGCTGTAGATGAACACCTTGCTGGGGTCGTTTGACTCCAGTACTATTTCCTGCCACGGCAGGGGGTCGGACTAGATGATCTACTCAGGTCCCTTCTGACCCTAGAAACTATGAAACTATTAACCGTCACTTTATTAGCCGGAAAACTCTATTAACCGGCATCCGAGGGACACGGCAAAAACGAAACCGGAAGTACCACTTCTGGGTTTTGCCGCCATGAGCAGAGTTTTTCTTTGCCACTTATTTGGCCCACGGCCCAGGGCAAAGCAGCCTGTGCGGAACAAAGCAGCCTGCACAGGGCACCCCCTCCCACACTGATGCCGGGGAGCGGACCAGACCGTGCACATTTGATTAACCGGAATATTTGATTAACCGACATCCCCCATTCCCGGTACAGAGCTTTTACCGTATGTTGATGCTGTTATCTTAGTTGTCAGTGCTTGCTTAGCTGGGTGAATTATAGTCATTTGCATTTTAGTGCAAATGGGCCATGTCGGTCACCGATAGAAGCCTGATGGTACG